CGTCCATCCCGAAGAAGTTCTGGTGTTCTACGGGACCGCACCGGGAACGATTGGTCCCGCCCCCTAGCAGCCCCGCTCCCTCTCAACCAGGCGCAACGCTAAGCCCCGCCCTAGGCTCCATCGCACCACCAAATGCTGACCCTAGACTAAGCCCCGCCCCTCTGTAGCCCCGAGCTCAACACCTAGATCTCAACCCTGACCCAAAGGCGAACCCAGACCCAGGCCTAGACCCACGCGGCCAGCTCCTAGGCCTAAATCCTGCCTTGGGCCCGCCCACCACGCCCCCATTCTCCCTTCCGCGTCCTGGAGCCCTCTCCGCAGCTCTGGTGAGAACAAGGTTCACGGATGCAGGGCTTTGAGGCCTGAGTTTTCACCCCACAGAAATGCCCATAGGAAATCTCTCTGCAGCCCGGCAGGTTCAACTAGATGGAGGATGAACCAGATGGAGGCAGAGGGACCAGCCCTGGCTGGGGGTGAGGGACCAGGGGTTGGCCTTAAGAAGGTGGTTGAAAGTGGGTCCAGGATGACCCAGCTCGGCTCTTGAGCCCTCCTAGGGCCAGGGACTTTACAGGAGATGGACAGTTCATGAGCCCTACTGTGTGCGCTACAGGTGACAGGGATCTCTTCTTCAGCCCCCCTTCTCCCCTCCCTGGAACTGCATTTTCTCACCTTTGCCATAGAAGTACTTGCGGTAGTAGCCAGCACCCAGGTCTGCGTGCTCCAGGCTGTAGGCTGAAGTTCGGTTCTGTGGCTCCTCCAGGATGGAGACAGCCGCATTGGGCAGTGCAGGGGGCACAGGTGGGGATGCTGGTCCACCCAGGCCTAGCTCACCCTCACCCCCGAGCTCACACACAAAGCCAGGTGCCCCGAGCAGCAGGTCCGAGCTGGCAGCCTGGTCCTCAGCTGAAGCCAGGGTCCCAGAGCTGGCCTCCGAGGGGCTCCCCATTACCTGAGACCTCGGAGCCCAATCAAAGAGCAGGCTTTGCACGTCATAGTGGGCAAACCATCGAGGCTCAAGCACTGGCGGGAAGGCAGGCTCTGGTTCCTCTGCTGGCAGCCCCAGCAGTGCCAGCGGGTCTGTGAAGAGCCGGGTTGAAGTGGCAGCAGGGCGGCTGGCCTCTTCGTGGCTGTGAGCACGGGCACGGGGGCTGGCAGGCATGGGGGACTTGGCCTCGCCTGCATCGCTGCCGCTGCGCAGGAGGGGGCCCCGGACTGGCCTCTGCTCAAAGGTGTGAGGTGTCAGCGGGGGCCGTGCTGGCTGGCGCAGCTTGCGTGCAAAGAGGTCATCCGTGGACGCAGGGGCCATTCCCCGCCGAGGGCTCCCCACACCGCCGGCCCACATGGGCATGCTTTGTGGGCCTGACTCTTCGGGGGCTGGGCCGCATTGGCAGGCACGGGTGTTTGGTGGTGCCCAGCCGGCAGGCCGAGGTTGCGGCAACAGTTCCTGCCCTGAAGGAGGAGGGGGCTGTTCAGAGGGGCCGGGGGAGAAAACAGGAACCCAGGCCCCCAGCCTGGTCCTCTACCACCCGTGTTGGCTTCCGGCCCCCTCCGAGACCATCAAAGCTGCTTCCGCTTTCCAGGCCACTTCCTTGTCTGCCTGGGGCTGAGGTTTCCAGCCCCCTCCCCGGCTTAGCTGGGCAGGGCTAGAGGCTACGCTGTTGGGTCTTGGCCCTGAGGGTCCTGGAGCCTAAGCAGCCCTGGGACTGCCAGGGTCCCCCATTTCCCGCCCACACACCTTGGCTTTGGCCTGGGACCAGAGTAAGGGTCCCATCAGGACCTAGCCCAACTGGACAGACGACTTGTATCAGCTGGGACGGGAAATTCAGAGGCCACTGGTGTCTGGGTCCTGCCCACTTAACAAAGGGAGGACGTCCTGTCCCCAGAGACCTTCCTCTCTGCCCCTCCCACTTCCTTCAGGGTCCCTGGAGAGCGGATCACCCAGAGAGGTCTGATCTCTCAGTGCCCTGGCCCTCAAGGCCTCAATACCACAAGGACACATGGGTTCCCAGGGGGCATCAGCAGGGAAGCAGGAATGGCAAAAGGACTTCCTTCAGCACAGGAAGTAGCCCCAACTCTGAGCCCAGCCCTCTGCCGGGCCCCCACATCCTGAGGAAGATACCGGGGTCACACCAGCTGTCATGGGACCAAGTCACCCAGGCCTAAAGGACAGACCAGCTCACCTTCTTGCAGGCAGTTGTGCCCAGGCCTGGGGGCAAAAGGAGTCACAATGACAGGGCTCCTCTGCTGGAACTGGGACCCATAGGAACCTCTGCCTACCTGATCTCACTGATGCAGACAGGGAGGTTTCAACCCCATGTGACAGATGGTCAAATGAGGTCCAGAGAAGACACTCTTGCCTGAAGCAATACATGTCAGAGCTAAGGTTCGAGCCTGGGCCTGTCCATCTCCAGGGCCTAACCAGAGCTGCACCTGCCCACTGCTGTCTGTGTGCGTAGGTGTTGGGGGGTGGGTGTTGGGCTGAGGTTCAAGATCTCACAGGATGCAAGATTGAGACACCCAAAGCCCCGGGGACCTGCTAAGTGCGGAAATGTGACGCCAGAGGCAGGTGCAAAAGGTGGTGTGAGAACTTGAGGGAAGTGACGCCCAGGCCAGCCCTGGATGGAGTAGGCAGTGAGGGCAGGGAGCTGGGGACCCTCCACTGGGGGTACAGGCATCTAATGGTGCATCTTCATGCAGCATCCAGTGACATCATGCAGGGCTGGGCCAGAGCAGGTGGAGGAGGAACTCCATACACTCCTCGCCTGAGGCCTCCAGAACCAAGCAAGGGTCGGCTCCCCAGCCCAGTTGCCTGCTACCTTGATTTCTCCTGAATAAACTCCCATGCTGACCTGAGCCTCTGTTTTCTCATCTCTAAAATGAGGTTAACTGGCCGGGTGCAATGGCTCACGCCTGTTATCCCAGCACTTTGGGAGGCTGAGGTGGGGGATCACCTGAGGTCAGGAGTTGGAGACCAGCCTGGCCAACATGGTGAAACCCTGTCTCTCTAAAAACACAAAAATTAGCTGGGCGTGGTGGTACATGCCTGTAGTCCCAGCTACTCAGGAGGCCGAGGCAGGAGAATCGGTTAAACCTAGGAGGCGGAGGTTGCAGTGAGCCGAGATCACACCACTGAACCCCAGCCTGGGTTCAGAGCGAGACCCTGTCTCAAAAAAAAAAAAAAGACAACCAGGGTTAACTATTTCTGTCCCCTCCAAAGTTTGCTGGGAGACTGAGAAGAGCGAGGTGTGTGTTACTATGCGTGTGTGGCAGGTGTGAACCCTGGCTCCAGGAGCCAGCCTCTGGGCACATGCAGGCTCAGGCCTGAGCTATGGTGTGTGAGGTGTAGGAGCACACGAGGGAGGGGATCTGTGCAAGCCCCACTTCGTGCGGGCTGAGCTCTGCATGCTTGGAAGTGAGCTATGTGCATGTGTGCACCCAGTCTATGGGCTGCCTCTTGCTGTGTGGCCCAGTGCCAAGTCTGGCACTGCCTTGAGGGGTGTTCTTGGGCTCTGCCCCCCACCCTGAAGCTTCACACAGGGTCCATTGAGGCCAGGACATTCCTCCGGGCCTGTGTCACTAGGGGTTGGGGGAAAGGGCCGGCCCCGCCCCCACAGATCCGGAAGGCCTGCCTGCCCCAGGAGGAGGAGTTGGCCACTTCCCAGCACATCTGGAGGTCATGACCCCATTTCTGCTGCCCGGGGGCGCGACAGATGTTTCCTACCAGGCCAGGCCAGGGACTGGGGTGGAGGCTGCCTAAGGAGAAGAGGAGCCCCAGAATAAGGGGGAGCCCCGCACACACTTGCATTGTCGAGGGGGAGGGGGTCACAGTGCCGCCACGAGGAGTCACGAGTCGCAGCCTCCACTCACCGGCTTGCTGGACAGACTAAGCCGTCACGCAGTGAGTAGGAACGGCTTCTCAGAGCCAGGGAACTGAACACATTGAGTTGGAGCCCGTAGGGAAGTTGGGAGGGTGCCGGCAACCAACGTGGCGAGGATCCCCCTCCCACACACATCACCCGGGCCCACCGCTAGGCCATCTCTCCCTGTCTGGCCCGACAGCAGTGCCTCCCGTCCCCAGCTCCCGCCAGTACCTCGGGGGCTCCCGCCCAGCCGCCGCCGCCCGCGCTGGGGTCCCGCTGCCGCTCTCCCGCTACCGCTCCCTGCGCCGGCTCCGCCTGGAGGTGGGGCCGTGGGGGGGGCGGGGCCGCCAAGGGGCGGGGCCAGCCGGGAGCTGTCTGCGGCGGGAAGCGCAGCGGGCGGGGACTCCAGGCCTGGCAGTGGTCAGCCCCACACCGTACTGACTACTTCTTTCCTCGGCTGAGAAAACTGTACTTGCCTTCCAAACCAACCGGCAGGGCTGGCGCCGGCCACCAAGCGTCCAGCTCCCGGACAGCATAGAGCAGGTGCCCAGAGACGGCCACTATTTAGAGCACTTCCAAAGCACTGGGCCCTGGGCAACTGCTCCACTAGCACGCTCTCATTTATTCTGAAAACACCTTAGACAGGTGTCATCTCTACGCCTTGGAGCAACTGAGGTCAGGGAAAGGCTTTGGCCAAGGACAAGCCTGGTTAAATGTAAGAGCCACCAGACCTGGGTCTTTGACCATATGGGGGTGGAAAATAGCAGACAATAACCTTTCAAGCCTTCAGATAAAGGCTTGAAAAGGGAGCAGACCTGAGGGGAAGAGGACTCGGCTCTACCTGGACCCCGCCTTGGTCTGCCCTTGATCTCTATCATACTTCAGCCCCACATCCTTCACCCCTCTGTGTGTTTATCCACCCCAGCTTGGCCGCCTGTTCTATCCTGTACCCATTCCCAGGTAGAAAAAGAAACTGCCAACCAAAATCAAAAATAGTGTTATTAATTCTGATGTCTCCGAAGCACAAAA